AGATGTGTATAAGACCGCATAATTAATGTCGCTTAATGCAGAACATCATGTTTCCATTTGCAGACTATTTTGTTTAATTGTACTGTAGCTGTATTGAATTATGAAAGCAATTTCTATTACTACTGATAATTATCAACAATGAGGTATATTAATTGATGTTAATAAGTGTACAGTATGGTGTGAGCCTACTAAATATCCATTCTTAATGACAGAAAATATCCGTACCTGTGTTAGATATATAGGCACAGAGTCACATTTTGTTGGTTTTACTGTAAAAATCTCCACGTTCCCTTCTACAGGTCTCCTACCAAATAAAGACCATTTTTGGGGTTGGGGTTTCTATGATCTTCAACAGCTTTGGTCTCTAATTAAAATAATACACATAAAAGACATTGTTAATTTGGAACCTGTGAAAAGTGGTCTTTAATTGGAGGTGGTTTTTTAATTGGAAGAGTTTAATTAGAGGGAGACCTACTGTATATTTAGGTTCATATAAAACTCTACTCCATGTGGTCCTATGTGTTTTTTTAAGGCTGGAATCAGGTCTGAATGATGAAAGTATGCCCTCTATAGGTTTAATCAACCCCTCAGAATTTTGTATACTTGCTTTCTAAACTTATTGGCTGCTAGAAAGGATGTTAAATTTTCATTAAGCTACAGTATTGTAATACTAAACTACACATATTATTTAATTTTATTTATTTATTTTTTTAAATTATCTACTTTAATATAAACAGTATTTTAGCAACGGATTAATTATCTTAAATATTACAGAGTACTTAAATGATAGTACTGTACATGATGAGATCTACAGTATTTTCATTAATAGTTATTAAACTTAGACTAATGAAAGCTGATCTTTTTGTGTTTAATATTGTAATTTGTAATGTTACACCTTATTACATGAAAGAACACCTTGTTTATTCACCTTCCCCACTTGGTTAAAGAACAGCGAAAGAAGAAACAAACAACATTGTATTTATTATTCTATAGTAATATTACAGTAAATGACAGTGATTCATACTACTACTAAAGTGTTGTATGGTTGTAATATAGGGAATATTTGTTTATCTGGGGTCGAAGGAATTCATTGTTGTTATTTGTAATTTATTTCATGCTATTATCATGGTGTTTAAACCAACATAATGATGATGTTTACAGTTCTTCATAATATCTTCAGTCAACTTGAACATAATACAGTAGAGTGTGAAGTGTTTGGTTTACCTTGAGATCGCAGAGTGTTTACAATCTTATACTACTTAGTACAGTACTACAGTGAACCTATATTCAAGTAGGCCTACTCTACACAAGCGCTCGTTGCTTTTATTAATTTTATTATAAAGTTACGAAAATTCTTGTTTAAAAATTATTATTAAACCTACTGTTGCCAAAAGAGTGCCCCTGCTTACATCTGTACACTTATTTCTAGACAACAATATCGCCATGGCTATAATCTTCATTCATCTGGTTCACTTTGCCTTCGTACAGTATATACCTCAGTCTAATAAGAAGGCTGGTGATAGGGCCTTTTCAATTAACCTAGGCTTTGGAGTAGTCTTCCTAGTGAGTTACATGTACAACATGCTTCTAGTTATCTCAGTTTCCGTTTTCTTCTCAAGAAACATTTTTTCTCACTTATACGTATATCTCACTTAACTATCCAAATTTTCTGTTTTGTTTTCATTTCTGGTGTCTTCGTTGATCGCCAATTGGTTATCTTTTTTTTTATTGCACCATCCCTTGGCAAAAGGCGTAGTACAAGTTCTAAATAACAATCTAATAATGACATAGCATACTTAGTTTAAATAAAAAACCTTTTCTTCTACCTTGTTTACAGCATTATTCTTTCACACCACATGATCTTTTCATGCCACTGTACATTTTCTTATCATGCTAATTGCTACGATATTTTATAATTTAAATGTTGTTACACTGTAGTATAAATTTAGCTCTTTTTTATGCTTTTAGGTTTGTAGTCACTTTTCTCAATGACTTTAGGCCTACTTAGCCTTTTGATAGTTTCCTATTCAATGAGTAATGGAGTATTTCTTATTTCTTCAAGTTGTTCATCATTTGGATATTGGTTTGCAGATCAACTGGTATTATAATTTCGTAGTTATCACAGTATTCAACAAATGTTGGCGGATAACGCATGCCTGCTCTTCGACTTACCACTGTATATAATCCACTCATTCATAGAAATCTCATGTCAGATTCTAGTCTACGTTTAGCATGGTTACTGTACAATGTTGCATTGTAGAATGCAATCTCTTTGTATGATTATGTCCAATACATTTGACCATGTTGAATTTTATACTGTAGTGATATTGTTACTGTAAGCCTGTACTTGAACTGGTAAGAAATAGGCTTTCTACTCCACCTCATACAAAGTATGTACATTATTGATATTAAAATAAATAATCGACAGTATCGTCATGGTTATTTACTTCCAAATTCATCCATACAGTAGTCCATTCAGAAATTCTTCAGAACTACAGTACGTTCTTACTGTACAAGCTTGATATTAATCATAATAATATCGGACCCATAAGCTACAATAATGTATTGTAAATCTTCTTGGGTCAGTAGTCATTTACTCAGTCACGCAAATTCTTGTGGAATGACGTGATACTGTCCGTTATTAAGACCTGTTGATCTACAGTAGGATGGAAGCTTCATCATCACTCAAAACCTGTTGATCAAACTGCATTTTACATTGTATTAACAAGATCTATATTATCAGATGAGGTGAAATTTCTAGTCCTCTACTGTAGAAAGTTTTTTTTTTACTGCGAAAGATTAGTAACATCCTAGAGCGGCAGTCCCACCCCATGTGTACATTTCACAGGTTTTAAGAGATCCGTCATGCGCAGTAGCCTTTACTGGTATTGGCTGTTATACTGGTATGCTCAGCCCCCATTTATTGTGCCATCATCTGATATTTTGTTTTCGACAATGACGTGAACATGGCGAAAAGCCAATTGAAAGTAGCTCAGAAGATGTCTACTGTATGTTGTTGAACTCCAATTTTTCGTCCATCATGATGTAATGCTGCATGTGATGAAAACCAGTGACCTGTGGTTAGCGGGGTGCTGTACGACCTTTGACATTAACAGCAGTTGGTCTCACTGTTGTAATAATTATTAGAGAACTATTTTTTTGCATTCAAGTGCCAATATGTTTTTATCATTAACCAATTAATCAGACCCTCTAGGTTTTAAAGTGGAATTCCATTGTGTTTACATCATGATCCCATATTCATCCACATAATTGTCAAATGTAAACATCCTGGATTTTTAACCCTGTATTTGTCTGTGGCATCGCATGTCCTAATTCTCAATGTTAATACAGGTATAGACAGGGTGTACCAATTGTGGTATCACATCGGAATGTGTAACTGACACTTTAGTTAGTTACGTTAAATGGCATACATCTTTTAAAATTAAACATTAATAAGGTATTTTTATAATGATATTCACACATGTTTAAAGCTAGGAAATTATTCTGAAGACACCACCATACAGTACATGCTCTTTTGAACATCATTCCTCTGTGTACCAATAAATTCCTGTGTTTGTAAGAGACTGCGAAAGATTAGTAACATCCTAGAGCGGCAGTCCCACCCCATGTGTACATTTCACAGGTTTTATGAGATCTGTCATGCGCAGTAGCCTTTACTGGTATTGGCTGTTATACTGGTACTGGAGACAGGGCTCAAGGGAAAGAGTAAGTTTGTACTGTACTCTCTTGAAAGTGTTCTAAAATGTAAATAACCATTCATTATTAATATTATAAAGAAAATATAATACCAATAGAGGATTATTCACAGTGTTAATCTATTTAACTCTAGAAAAAAAAAGGTTAACTACAGTACTCTGTACTCATGATATACAGTATTCCATAGACCTAGTGTAGAAATTAAATCCAGATATTTGAAAGATATTTCTGAAAATAATCAAAAAGTATTTTTAAACTTGACAAACTGTTTGATTCCTTTATATGATCCACTGTATAGTACATCACAGCCTTTTTCATGAATATCACAGCACATTTTTGTCATTACTGTATTTTATTTAGGTGTATTCATGAAATACTTATAAGATTAATGTTCACTGTATGAATAATCAATAATTCTACAGTACAATATATAATGGCACACTGCATCAGCCTAGTGCTTTTCTAATAACGATGTGTTTATTTTTAATGTAAACAATATTGTCATACAATATTGATTATGCTTTATGTTTACTCAGTTCTTGATCTATTATTAAAACATGTTATATGGTTCACTATTAA